CACATTCTCCTGGAGGATCTCACTGCACACATTCTCCTGGAGGATCTCACTGCACATGTTCTCCTGGGGGATCTCACTGCACACATTCTCCTGGAGGATCTCACTGCACACGTTCTCCTGGGGGGGGTCTCACTGCACATGTTCTCCTGGAGGATCTCACTGCACATGTTCTCCTGGGGGGGGGTTCTCACTGCACACATTCTCCTGGAGGATCTCACTGCACACATTCTCCTGGAGGATCTCACTGCACATGTTCTCCTGGAGGATCTCACTGCACACATTCTCCTGGGGGGGTTCTCACTGCACACATTCTCCTGGAGGATCTCACTGCACACATTCTCCTGGGGGGGTTCTCACTGCACATGTTCTCCTGGAGGATCTCACTGCACATGTTCTCCTGGAGGATCTCACTGCACATATTCTCCTGGGTGCTCTCACTGCACATGTTCTCCTGGATGGCTCGCACTGCACACAATTCAGTTACTATGAAGAGTTCTGCATATTAATAGCTGATGGATATTTGTTAAATGAATTTATAGATGCCATTTGGTAAGCTTGAAGCTATTACATATTTATGGAGATAAGTGTATTATTTTGTCTTCGTTCTGATCAAGTATGGTTGGGTAGCAGTGAATTAGGTAAAGCAGATTAATAATGGACCCAGGAAAATTGTGTCCAGTAGTCAAGGGTGCTATGAATGGTTTAAATGCTGGCTTCATTGACTTTTGATGGCTCCTTGCATTTTTTATTAAAATTAGAAAGGTATTAATAAATTTAAATTATAAGGTTTCCTAAGTAGTCTAATGAGTCTACAGAACAACAGTTAAGGAAAGTTTCTTTCTCCATCCTATCCACCATTGTTGTAGCCTGGCAACATCAACCTAGACAGTGATGGTAAGCAGTGCAGCAAGTGCACCATCGCAGGGAGAGTTCCTCCAGACTCCACCGCAGAGCAGGCAGTCCTTTTGCAGCTGGGGAGCTGGGTTGCTGTGGGAGGCTAAGGTGGGGCTGAGAGCGAGCCAGCTTCTGCTCTACTTGTTAGAGGCGAATCTTTCTCGAGCCTGTGTGAACTGTAGTGTGTTGTGTGCAGTCACAGGGACTAAACTACAGGCACATGACATTCCAGACTGTAACTTTAAATTCTCATTGCAGATTCCAGACTAACCCTTTGTCATTTGTACTCAGTAAAGAACCCAGCTCTAACAAAAAAAAAAAAAAACCAACCAAACAAGAATCCTTTCCTTAGACTCAGAGTTGGTCACGTGTTCTTTATGTTTCTGGGTTGATGAAGCAGACGATTGAGTCCACAGTGCACAGGGCCAGTGTTTCTCTGTGACTTGTTAAAGTTTATAGGGGCCCCATGAAGGACATGTGTAAATATAATCTTTCACTGCTTCAGGGTTTACAGCTGATTTGTGCTAACCCCACCTCTGTATATAGCACTGACCTGCTACAGTGGGGTGTCATCTGAATGACGTGAGCAGCTACAGCGGGGTGTCATCTGACTGACGTGAGCAGCTACAGTGGGGCGTCATCTGACTGACATGAGCAGCTACAGTGGGGTGTCATCTGACTGACGTGAGCAGCTACAGTGGGGCGTCATTTGACTGACATGACCAGCTACAGTGGATGTCATCTGACTGATGTGAGCAGCTACAGTGGGGTGTCATTTGACTGACATGACCAGCTATAGTGGATGTCATCTGACTGACGTGAGCAGCTACAGTGGGGTGTCATTTGACTGACGAGCAGCTACAGTGGATGTCATCTGACTGACGTGAGCAGCTACAGTGGGATGTCATCTGACTGACGTGACCAGCTACAGTGGATGTCATCTGACTGACGTGACCAGCTACAGTGGATGTCATCTGACTGACGTGAGCAGCTACAGTGAGGTGTCATTTGACTGACATGACCAGCTACAATGGGATGTCATCTGACTGATGTGAGCAGCTACAGTGGGGTGTCATCTGACTGACGTGAGCAGCTACAGTGGGGTGTCATTTGACTGACGAGCAGCTACAGTGAATGTCATCTGACTGACGTGAGCAGCTACAGTGGGGTGTCATCTGACTGACGAGCAGCTACAGTGGATGTCATCTGACGTGACCAGCTACAGTGGATGTCACCTGACTGACGTGAGCAGCTACAGTGGGGTGTCATCTGACTGACGTGAGCAGCTACAGTGGGGCGTCATTTGACTGACATGACCAGCTACAGTGGATGTCATCTGACTGACGTGAGCAGCTACAGTGGGGTGTCATTTGACTGACATGACCAGCTATAGTGGATGTCACCTGACTGACGTGAGCAGCTACAGTGGGGTGTCATCTGACTGACGTGAGCAGCTACAGTGGGGCGTCATTTGACTGACATGACCAGCTACAGTGGATGTCACCTGACTGACGTGAGCAGCTACAGCGGGGTGTCATCTGACTGATGTGAGCAGCTACAGTGGGGCGTCATCTGACTGACATGAGCAGCTACAGTGGGGTGTCATCTGACTGACGTGAGCAGCTACAGTGGGGTGTCATTTGACTGACATGACCAGCTACAGTGGATGTCATCTGACTGACGTGAGCAGCTACAGTGGGGTGTCATTTGACTGACGAGCAGCTACAGTGGATGTCATCTGACTGACATGAGCAGCTACAGTGGGATGTCATCTGACTGACGTGAGCAGCTACAGTGGATGTCATCTGACTGACGTGAGCAGCTACAGTGGGGTGTCATTTGACTGACGTGACCAGCTACAGTGGATGTCATCTGACTGACGTGAGCAGCTACAGTGGATGTCATCTGACTGACGTGAGCAGCTACAGTGGGGTGTCATTTGACTGACGTGACCAGCTACAGTGGATGTCATCTGACTGACATGAGCAGCTACAGTGGATGTCATCTGACTGACATGACCAGCTACGGTGGGGTGTCATTCGACTGACGTGAGCAGCTACAGTGGGATGTCATCTGACTGACGTGACCAGCTACAGTGGGGTGTCATCTGACTGACTTGAGCAACTACAGTGGGGTGTCGTTTGACTGATGTGAGCAGCTACAGTGGGGTGTCATTTGATACTTTGGGTAGTAATAAAGCCGTGTAGCATTTTCTCCTCCTGGGTCCTTTCCCTGTCTCTTGTTCATTTTCCATATTTTATCCTTTGGATTGTAAAGACAAATGGCTCCTAGCTGAGTTACAGAAGGATGGCTCTTTTGTGTATTGTGTCTGGTAGCTTTCAAATACTTATTCAAACATTTATTTCTTTTTCCAATGAAATGGACTTTTTCAAGTTAGGTAAGGTTGGGCTTTCAGGCAGTAGAATCTGCCCTTTGACGGGGACTATTTCATTGCTCTGTGCACAAATGGAGGCCAGTTTGAAAGCTCACTGAGTTTATGTTAGTGAAGGGTGAGGCTGTAACCTTTTATAACTCCGAGACACTTCACCTGACCCACACCATCCCCACCTAAGGGAGACTACCTCTAAAACAGAAATGGGCACTAGCAGAGGGATCTCTGCTAAGTAGTAGTAACAGCAAGATGGATGCCATCCCCATTCCTCCCCCACCCCCCCGCATCACTGTGCCCACCAGGTACATAGAGCTCTTGCCTTGCAGCGAGCCCCTGAAGCACTGAGCTAGTGGAGTGGACCCCTGCATGCCCTAGCCCTTCAGTAGGCATTTCTGGAGCAATTGCTGTGGCCAGCTGTTGGCGGAAGTACAGGGTGCAAAGACAAACCCCATGAGTTTTTCCCCACTGATTTAGTACAGTTTCTTCACTGATGGTTCCCAATCCACTGTCGGGTGAGGTGGGGTATTTAAATGAGAAAGTAGAGTAGTTTTCACCCTGTGTTTAAGTAGATGTGAGGGGTTGTAAGGTGTCCATCCCTATCCACACTCTCGGGACGTGAACTAATTTGGAACCTGTTTTATATTTATAGTTAGATCACACTGACATGTAGAACGCAGCTGTGCTTGACGGCGTTGTGTGCATGGCGTTGTGTGCACAGTGTGTTAAAAATGGGGTAGTAGAAGATAGCCAGTCTTGTCGGCTGTCTTTGCACTGTCTCTGTAAGGTTTCAGAACTGGCATCTGGTAGAACAAGAATAGGAGAGCGGGCAAAGAATAAAAAAGAAAAGCATGGAGCTGAGATAAGGGAACCATGGGCATTAGCTGTCCTGCGGTGATTAGAGTTCCCAGAGTGCAGAGTGCTGGCCTGACCTTGCACTGAGGGCCACACACCTTCCCAGAGGCCACACTCCTTCCTCCTCAGTGAGAGCAGAGAAACTCAGGGCTCAGCAGACAGAATTGGACTCCTGGTCGCACTATTGTTTCCTACACGCTGTACTTAAGTGAGGTTTTATCTAATGTTCCACACGCAAAGCACCAAGGCACCTTCTTAGTATTTATGTAACTTTAAAACCAGTTTTCATGCTAACTTGCTCCCCTGACTTATTTTCCTTATTTTTAAACAAGGGATTTTTTTTTTTTTTTGTGATTTTAGCTCCAGAAAACTAACCAAACCAAAACAAAAAAACATTGCTTATAGGTAGTCCTTTGAGGAAATTGTAGATAGTGAGTTACGCATGGTTTATTTAAACTGTAGTATCCCAGAAGAATCAGAGGTTGCTGGGCAAGTCAAGTCTGGAATGCCTGACTCAGATTCTGGAGTGTCTCGATGCTTCCTGCTGAGCTCGGAACTTTCCCTTAGGAAGTCCTCCTTCTCTCAGCCAGGAGAGGGGCTTGGAGCCACACTGACTGCCTTTGTCAAGGTTAGATGTGGCTATATGATGTAAATATTCATGAGTGCCCTTAAAAGAGTCTTAGACACACGGAAGACCCTTGAGCGGTGAAAGGGAGAACTTCCTTCTGTTTGAAACACAATACTGGAAATTGTGAATTCCTAGCACCTCTAGTCAACTATTTGAAAGTTGTTTTTCCTGATCTAATATGTAAAAATGGTATGTAAAGATGCGGCAGTTAACACTGTGAATAAAAAAATGCAGGACTTAAAGAAAGATCTACTTCAGAGAGGACGTCCCCACCAGAGGAGGCCGAGCCACCGGCTGAGCTGGAGAAGCAGGCTGCTGAGGGGCCAGGTAAGTATGGTGGAGACTCTAGGGCAGGCCTGGCCTGCTGGTTCCTTTGCAGTTAAGCCGTCAGGGCTCACCCAGCTGTTCACATTGTTTATAAAGTGAGCTACAGATTCTTCTTTTCTGAAGCCACAATAATCAATCTTGCTGTGGAAGCGTATGCAGGAGTGTTTTAATTTTTGTAATCAAGATTCCAAGGCATAAACGGTTGTGCATCACTGAAGACCATGCAGTGAGGAACAACAGCAGCCAAGTGTGTCTTTTACCACATCACATTCAAAGTAAAAGCGGACACGGCCTCTACACAGCCTGGTACATGAATGAATTCAGCAGGAATACATAAGGACCTGGTCTACGTGGAAGGCCTCCTTAGACCTTGTCATGCTCTTTCTGTCCCTGTGGCCTCTTAGAGCAGGTCATAGTATTTCCATAAAGGGACTTTATCTCATAGTTTGGAAACGTTGAGGTATTTTAATAAACTGCTGCCTGAAATTTTAATCTACTACCATGGTTTTCTGCTTATGGCATGGTTCAGTACTTGTCTTTCTTGCAATACATAAGAAAATTGGTTTCGTTGTGCCCCCTATTGGGAGCTCTAGATATGACATGTTTATTGGAAACAATTTATGGCCCAAACTGTGCTGATGAATACTATTTGATTTTCTTTTCTTCATTCCTTCAAGGAACAATATGTGAGTCTAAGTTTTGTTATTTGTCCATTTAAGAGAGCCCTAGGAGAATTTATTGTCTCCATCTCACGCCTATGTAATTGGAATATGGCTCCAGAATCCATGCTGGTTTTTGTCAAGGTTTCTAATTTAAATATTTGAATTTAACACTTAATATTTGATTTTTGATAAACAGATTTGTAATTTTAAGAAGTCTGATTTCTAAGCGAGTCGAGTGCTGGATCTGAGATGTGCCATGTGTTCCCCATTCTTTTTGTTGTTGGTCTGATTCTTTACAAACGATTGCAGGTTTGTTACTAGCCTCATTCTCTGCAGCTCCGTGGCACTGTGTTCGGATTGCCCTCTGCTCTCTCAGCCCTTCCCTTGCTGAGCCTTTAGTTCTTCTTCCCTTCTCTGGTTCTTTCCATCTGTTTTGCAACTACAGATACTTATCTCCCAGTAAAATGCCCTCTAACTCCCATCTACCACTGGCTCCTCTCGTCACTATAGCAACGACACTTTCGAAAGAGCACACTACACCCAATTACCCTTTTCATTTCTTTGCTGTTCGTTCTCTCACCCAGGGTGGCCCAGCTCCTCCCTCTGCACCGTGGGAGAAGAGAAAGACATGTAGAATGGGATGCCAGGGAGCGTTCACTGAGTTCAGAACCAGGGCTGGTAACACAGGAGTCTGGAAAGCTCTGGGAGGGCCACATCTGTAGTTCTCAATTTGTGACGCTTCAGGGTCCTATCTAGGAAGTCAGTAACGCACGCCCCATGCCATGGCTAGAAACTCTTCATCTGTTGGATGATTTTCTCAGCACCGTTGGAATGGGCCCCAATGAGGAGACTGTCACAAACACTGGGAGGCTGAGAGAAGAGACTAGGGACTTGTCTATATTATTATTATATGGATGGCAAAATGGAAATAAAACAGTGTATGCTTTAGAAATGTTTTATTTAGCAATGAGCATAGGAACTTTTCCGCAGCCCGAGTTTGTTCCGTCTGTCACTGAAGACTTGTGCTTCACAGTAACCCCAGCCGTTGGCGTTATTTCACACGCAGCACCAGTGATATCGAGAGGAAGTCTAGATTATGTCAGCAAACCTGTGACAGTGTCATTGTCCACACAGTTTATTTGCTGTGTAACGCTGGGCTTTATCTGGGTTGTAGGCCGATAAGCACTGTGGGGTTGTCCCAATGTCATCAGTAACTCCTCTTTTGTAAGTCATAATTATCTGAGCCTGTATTTCAGATGCACTTTTCTGGAGCTGACAGGGTGGTCATTATCACACAAGCTTCAGACTTGTGGATCGGCCAGTCCTACTCACTAGGATCCTCATTCCACCAAGGGTGCCCTTCCTGCTGACAGTCAGGAGAGCAGGCATTGGTCACATTGTTTATTCTGGGTGGAATTCCGTCTTTTCCAGTCCCTTCTTTATGAAAGCTTCATTCTTGCTTTCTGCTAACATGAATGGGAATTTTATTAATTGGAAACTAAAAGCATTCTCTTAGACTGCTTTTTAAAGAAAAAAGTCTATACTTGAATTTGTTTTCTTTAAAAGTCTCTTTGAACATCTCTCAGTATTTACATCTGCTGAGCTAATAAGACTAATTTTAAGTATCTGTTATGTTTGCCGATATAGGGGAGGAGGCGGCATATGGATATGGAAATGTCACACAGCCTCTTAGCCAAGTGTAGTCATCTTAATACGTGTGCAAATGCCGTATTTAACTCTTCAAATTTCCCATTAATACTTGAGTGTTATATTATTGTGTTATGTTTTGTAAATATTTTAGAAGTCCAGAATGTTGAAGATGAAGTAAAAGAACAAATTCATTCTCTTCTCCAGGAACAGGAACACACAGAATATGGTATGAATTCAATTCTACTTTGCACAAATTACCAAAATAGTTGAGTTCCTATAACTACATTCCGAGTAATTATAGATCAACTATTATTTCTTGGGGAAAAAGCACTGGACATACTTTTCAAAATCCCACCTCACTGTGAAGGAATTTTATGAGCGTATTTAGTTTTAAAATCATATGAATAAATGAACATAAATAATTCAAGGCCAGCGTTCCATCAAAAATAAACAGGAGAGTCAGAGTGGAGTGGAAAACACAAGCCAGGGAGCTCTGGCTGCTTGCTTGGCATGGTCCTCCACCTTCAGGAGCCATCCTCTGTCCCGAGAAGAGATGCTCCACCCTCAGAAACAGTGGTCCTCCACCTTCAGGAGCTTCTAAGCCATCAGAAGGGATGGAGCGACGGTTCATCCTCGCAGTTTTCTTGATGTTTGACTGGTTTACCCAAGCAAAACATGAGAGACAGTTTTATGGGTCATGCTGCCAAAGAGACCGGGAAGTGTCCTCCCAGAGCATGGACCAGGTTTCTTGTGGTGGCATCTGCATAGAGAATATAGTATGATAATCCAGAAATCAGCATGCCAGGGTTGCATAGGGATACTCCTAGAAATACCTCCTGATAAAAGCAGACAGACAGCAGGACCCCATAATGTAACTGTGAGGGTTTGTGAAGGGGCAGGATGTTATACCCTGGTATCCTGTTGTCTTAGTGAACTGAGGGAAGCCTAAAGGAAAAGAAGTATTACCTCATGAAAACAGTACCTCACATTTTGACTGGGTATTGCTGATGGCTACTGGGAATGTAGAAAGGATTGTCCCTTATAATTGCGTGCAGGCTCTGTCACTTGAATGTGTTTCTTCTCATGGCACACACAGGCTCTCACTCTCCCTGCCACGTAGCACAGGCACAAGGAAGATGAAATCTAAGCATTGAATTCAGTGTGACGAGCTGAGAACTGCCGTGGTGATTCATGGGCTGTTTAGAAGCTTGCTGGAAAGAATGCATTTCATCTTAGAGCAGAAGGTGCTTTGCCTGGCCGGGACAACAAAGATGTGAATGTAGTCAGAATGGCTGGCATGTGAGATGCATGGGTAGAGTGAGGGTAGAAAAAGACACTCATTTTGGAGAGGAATTGAAGCTGCTGGGAGGCGTGTCAGGGTATAGTCTGTTCTGCCTACAGTCTGAATCCAGAATAGGCAGGAGCATGGCTCTGCTGTGCAGACACAAGCTATGAAGTCAAGATGGCTCAGGAAAGTCAGTTCTACAAGGGTAGGGATGCAGAGGAGTGGGAAGGTGCAGCCTCTGTGAGTGACTAAGGTCTGTGTGATGAACAGGAAGAGGAAAGAATCCTAGGTCCGAGATCCTTGCTGCACCTCCTTCCTTCCAGTTTATACCCTTATAGACGCTTTCTCCATGGACAGTTACATGGGTGGAGAGGGATGAAGAGGGATTAGATTACGAGGAATTGAACATATTTAAGAATGTATGAACTGTTTATTCCTGGAATTTTAAGGTTTCCTTGTGGTTGGCCCTAGACAAACGAAACTTCAGAAAGCAAAACTGCAGATAAGGGGCACCTTCTATAGAAGTATCTACACAAATAGGTGTATATGATTCGGTGAAGCTGAGCATCATCGTGCCACACAGTGCAGAATAGCTAAAATGGGTTTCTTGTGGTCATGGGGATAGTTCACTAACAGTAGAGAGAACCTTGTCTACAGTCATTGTAATGGTAATGACCACACTAGAGACTTATGATGGGCCAGGCATATTCCTAGGTGTTTTCATCCACTTACCAGTACTCTTAATAGAGAATTATTGTTCCAGTTTTGTGGAAGGGAATCTTAGGCATAGAGTAGATAATTTATTTCCGCTGAGACACCTTGTGTAAATGAGGCAAAATCCAGAGCCTGAGACACCAGACTCCCAATCAATCTAGTCCAGCTCACTCTGGTTCTTCAAATGGAACATGGTTTCTAAAAAGTAGTCTGCTGGGAGCCCTGCAAGTTACTGTTGGGTCACCTGAGGGTGGAGTCACAGTCCAAACAATAGTGGCATGGAATCATGTAGCTTGTTTACTCAGGATGTCCTGAAACAGTCAGCAAAACGCTTTCTGTCTCTACCGAGAAAAGCTAAGCCTGGGTCCATTTAGATGCGTGATGTGAGGTGTGTCGGGGGTGCGGGGGAGGGGGGCAGTAATAAGATTTAGCAAGCAGCTGCTCTCCGCATTTAAAACTTGCAAGTCATCAGTTATAGTTGGTACATGGAATTTGACAGTTCTCAATGAAAGGTCTTGGCGTGACCTTTCTCCTGACTCAGGGATCATGAAAGACATGTATGTATTAATAATTATACATTCATATATTAATTCATCGAGTATTTAGGAGCATGTCCATTGGCCGCTCGTGGTCCTACCTGCTTAGTATGCAGAGTAAACAACAGGATGAGGTGACTGCGTGAGTTCCCTTTGTAATGAGAAGTGACTCTCCAGCTGAAACTGGCCAGAGTGGGAAAATGGCTTTCAAGGGGGCAAAGGCCAAGGCTCGTGGGGCAGCTGTAGATGGCCTGTCTGGTTGACTGCCATTGTGGGCTCTTGCTGTTCCCCTTGCTCACTGTCTCTCCTTGTTGAAGCCCCGCAGCCGGAAGCAGATGGAGCATCAGGAGAGCCACAGCCAGAGGCTGAGGACGTCCTCACAGTGACTGATGGAGAGGACAGAGTTGAGACCGTGGAACCTGGGGCAGTCCATGAAGGTAGCACACATTTGCCTTAAAATAGTTCATAGAGGGGCTGGAGAGATGGCTCAGTGCTTAATAGCACTGGCTGTTCTTCCAGAGGACCCAGGTTCAATTCCCAGCACCCACATGACAGCTCACAGCTGTCTGTAACTTCAGTTACACATCCTCAGACATGTATGCAGGCAAAATACCCATGGGCATAAAATAAATAAATAGAATAGTTGATAGTTTATAGTGTAATTATTAAAATGTTTCTAAAATTCCTTTACGAGCAATATTTAATTTTATATTATAATATATATTTATAATATTTTGAGAGTGAAGCTCAGTGCTTCAAAGCAAATGAACCTTTCTCTAAGATAAAATGATGCCCGGTTTCTTTCAAAGCTTGAAGGGAATCAGTAATAGGTGGATTTCTGATAATGGTAGGTGCAGTGCTTAAGGGAACTCCTCCATAGCGCCACCTAGGTGCCATGTGTTACATGAGATTGCAGTCACGATGACCCCACACAGCTGTCTGTGCCTGGCATTTGTTCCAACAACGCTGCTGTCTCCCTATCTGTAGCTTCCACAGCACGTGTCCCCAGATAGCTTTTGTAAGTCACAGGCAGCAAGTGTTTTCAGTTAGTGGGGGATTCAATAGATCCTGGAGCTCTCAGCTGCATAAAGACAATCATCAACTGTAATTAATTGGGAATAAACATAACTGTGTTTCCATAAACCTCTACTACAAACCAGCTCACAAATGGCTGTAAAAACTGCAAGTCACAAAAAGCAAAGCGTATACACTTCTGACACAATATGCTGAGAAGCTTCTTTAGTGGTAGGCAGCTTCTAATTTATGTATGAGATCTCCCAGAAACTGTCATGGAAGCCTGCTCAGAGCAGGAGAGACATTCTCCATAGGAAAAGCAATAGCCTTGGCAGGCAGCATCCATGTCAATGGTCAGGAATCTATAGAGTGTATGTTTTTTGTCTGTCAAAAATGCAGACCAAAGTGCTAGTGAATATACAACTGATTTCAGTTGCATTTTACATAGAAGATAGGTATTGATGGACAAGGAATAGCTTCCAAACTCATCATTTATGTCATGGTTTCCATAGGAACATGTTTCTAATTTCAGAGTAAAAATGCTCCAGCAACGATGTCACCATTTTCTTGGTATCATGTTTGTTTCTCTTGTCTTTGGCTAAGATAACTCAAAATGGTTTTACAGTGGCCAGAATTTTTATTGAGGTGCTGCTAATCCTGCAAATTCCTGCAGTTCACATGGATTTGATATCATCTGAAGCAGGAAGGATGTAATATCAACAAGGTTGGGAGGTCAGCTCCAGACAGGAAGAAGCACTTCTAAGAAAAGAAATCTTATTTTCTATCATAATCTATGATCAAAACAGATTAAATTTGAAACAAAAATTTTTATCTTTGAAAGTCTTTAGAGATTAAGAATATTTGCATTATCTAATCTGTAAAATAAAATATACAAAGATTGAACCATGAAAAACCAGATAAGAGAGTGTGTGGAGTGGCATTGTTGGAATGAAGGGCTCCGTGGGGACTGCAGAGGATGAAGAGAAGATGATGGGAACAAACATGATCAGAACAAATTCTGTACATGTATGAAATTGTCACCGGATGTCTAAAATAAACAAAGGTTTTAGTGGCGAGACTCGAAGGATGGCATTTTTGTTGTCTGAGTACGCTCAGTGACCCGGATATTTTCTGGGCAAGTGCGGTAGAACACGCCTACAGTTCATTAGCTGGAAGCCAGGCTGGGTGCTGAGACCCTGTTTCAAACATAAATAGAAACCCTGGTGTGGGGTACATGTACTTAACCCCAGCACTCAGGAGGCAGAGGCAAGCAGATCTCTGTGAGTTCTAGGCCAGCCTGTTCTCTGTAGAGAGTTCCACGTCGGCCATAGCCACCAATGAGACCTTATCTGAAAACAAAATAACAAAGCCAACAATTAAAACAAAACCAAACCAGAAAGATATGCTCTTCTGTAGCTTTGTAAGCATACCAAATCTCCATTCTTGTTTTTATCTGTGTTTTCAATACACGTTTTCACTTTAGAAAGCAGTAGGACAAAGCGGGTCAATGGAATCCATCTGCAGTGGGATGTGAAGAGGATTAACAGTTTGCACCTTTCTTGCATTCACCGCACGAATTGCTTTCTCTCTTTAACCCCAGGCTTTAGGGTGTGTCAACACTGTGGAGCTGCTGCGTGGGTACAGAGTGCAAGAGCTGTGTGATGTGAAGGAGTGATTAAATGATAGAGACTTAACTGATATTTCCATGCTTTATTTTAATAGTTTTATCATAAAGTCATTAATGAGCACTGGAATTACCTGAATTATCATTCAAAATAGACTTAGAGACATATAGCAGATACATATACCATATATGAGATAGTAGTAATATCAATCTAATGTTTTTTTTCCCCAGAAACTGAGGATAGTTACCATATGGAAGACACAGGTAAGAATTTATTAATTAGAGCAAATCTCCTAGCAGCATCATTTTAAATTATTCAATGTATCATAGGACACGTAATATTATTTGTGTTTTGTTTATCTTCATTTTCTGAACATAAATCCCAAGTAGTAGAATTACTCTGTCAAAATATACAAAGGAACTGTATTTGGTGTTGCTGTTATATACCTATAATTTCAGACTCAGAAAGTGGAGGCAAGGAAGGTCGTTAGCACACACACACACACACACACCACCACCACCACCACCAACAACAACAACAACAACAGCAGTAACAGCAACAACAACAATGAAACCAAGCTGGACACAGTGCCTTACACCTATAATCCCAGCATCTGTCAGGCTGAAGTAAGAGGATTGCCGTGAGGCCAGCCTGGGCTATAAAGTAAGACCTGTCTAAAGCAGAATGAGAGAGAGAGAAAGAAAAATAATCAGAAACAAAGCAATACCCACGTGTTTTTTATAGGCTTAAATTCTGAAGTTGACAAAAGTTCCCTGCATGTCATGAGACCGTAGAAAGCTTGTCTGTGCTAGAGCTGGATTCATCCTCTTTCAGGGAGCCTGTCTTGACTAGTTTTCCTCCAAGTTTCAGAGATAATGATTTGCCTCTTGAGTTTCAACCCCTCTTGGTATTATTGAGTGGCTTTTGGGGTCCACATCGCTTCAGTGCTGTGGGTGTGTAAGCACTGGAATTGTCCCAGTTGGGTCCGGTCTGGTAAGACCCCTTGCACAGTGCTCCTGTGGCTGGAGGTTCTTTAGAGCAAGAGGAGGGCTGAGCTGTGCTGCTCTTTGGTGGCACTTTTGTGTACTCATGTGGTGTGAATTGCTGACTAGTAGAATCTGTATCTGCCACCTGAACTAGCGCTCTGCTGCTCTGTGCATGGGTGATAAGTGCACCGATGCTGGGAACTGTGTGTCTTTGTCTTTGGCATCAGGTACAGATCATACAAGTTTGTTCTCTGGGTGAACTTGGTGGATCACAGGATTTGTGGCCTTCTAGTTTTAGGGATCATATATAAGCCTTATTTGAGACATTTTTAATTTCCCCTTTCGTAATTCATAGCATCACAGGACCATCCAGACGACGTGGAAGAGATGGTGAATGATCAGGAAGGCTCAGGTTTGTGAACATTAAAATTTTCAATGTGTATTTCTGTTGGAGGATGTGGCTTAAGAAGGCTCAAGTCAGGGTGAATGGTTGACTCTGACTTCCCACAGAGGTGTCTTCATAGGTCTTGCAGTTGTTCATATTCCTTAGACGACAGACGGTTTTTTGCATATTGTTTAGCATTACAAGGTAAATAAAGAGAAAAGAATGCCTTCTTTCACACCACTGGGAGAGAACACACAAACTTTATTGCTACATTTATAGTATAAAAGACCACACCCAAGTGGGCCAGTATCTCAAAGGCCATTGGCTGAAGAAGTTCCCACAGCACCTCCCCCTTTGCTTAATAAGAGAGTTCTAAACCTAATACAAAACTATATACAGTAAGAACAAATATCAAGTATAAAAATTAGAATTACAACCAGCATAAACAATATCAAGCAAGAAACATATGCTAAATGTTTCAATAATTATCCTATCCTAAGGAGTTTAAGTTTTGTATTAGAAATGGCTTGGCCAAGTCATGAGAAGAAAGTAACTACAATTATCTAGTCCTCAACCCCATTGAAAACCTGACAAGGGAAGTAATATTACTTAAGTAAACAGGAAGTGCAATCAAACAACTTCCTAAATGTGCAACAAATGACAGAGACTACTGGCTATCACCCAAAGTCTCATTTGCAACATTGGAGCAACCAACCTTGGCTGAAGCCTAGAGTTACTGACAGACATTTTCAGATGCACATTGGGATTCTTTTAAGGGGCGCAGGAATGGAAGAGAGGATGATGTCTTAGAGGCAGGAGGCTGAAAACCTTAGTCTGCTCTTTACCAGATTGTCTCTGCAGCTAGACAGCAACTTGGGGGCTTTGTTGTGTGAAATTTTATCAGAAGAGAGTAGTAGTACATCTGTTAGTTTTTATGGCTGTGACAAAATTGCTGAGAGAGTAGTTTTTAAAGGACGAAAACATTTTTCGGTTTCATTAACACATTGGCTTTCATGATGATCTTTTCGTACATTTGTGCAGTGTACATTACGTACTTACACACATCCATCCCTATCACCCACCCTTTTCTGGCTCCCCCACCATTCTGGTCTCCTCCGTTTTTCACAAAGAGCCTGTGAAGGGAGAGCAGGATGTATTCAAAGACCCTCCCCCAGTGACACAATGACTGTTCCTCCAATAAGGCCCCACTTCCTAACAGCCCTTCAGCTATGAATTCATTGGTGGATTAGTTCATTGATCCTTATGATCCAATCACCTCTTGATAGTGCCACTAACTAGGGCCTGAGCCCCCAACACAGGAGCCTTTGGGCATATTTTTTTATCTAAGCCACAGCAGTATCTGCCTACAAGGTTTTTCAAGTTAGAATTAACGTGTGACTCTTGTAGCTTGGTGTCTGTGATGTGTATGCTGTTTGCTATTAGACAAAATCTTCTCCTTTATTTTACGTCCCAGGGAAGCAGTAACGGATGCTGATAAGGTGCAGCAGGATACAGGAATTAGATGGACTTCGTTGTTCACTGTTAGGTCAGCGAAGCACCTTTGCCGTTACTGTGTTTAATTGCTGGCTTTTTTCTTTCAAAAACTAAAGATTCAATTTTAGTAGGACTTTTTTTTTGTCCTGTACTAAAGTTAGTTTATTAAAAGAATATTGCGTGCTTCTGTCTCCTCCCTCACTTAATGCCTCACGGTGACAAAGCAGACACGTATGCTAAGTTTTTTAGATTATTAGCAAGAATTTTTATGAGGATGGTTTCCCTCTTTTAACATTCCTTCCTTTTGGGCAGAGACATACATTCGTAACTACAGCATTAGTTAGAATATATGATTAAGATAAGGCATTTTAGTATTTGCTTTTCCCTTGTTTTCTTTAGTGACAAAGCTTTAATACTTATATTGTCTTAAGTCTCCCTTTCTTTCTTTCTTTCTTTCTTTTTTTTCTTTCTAGAGGAAGCAACACACCAAAATCATGATGCACCAGGTTTGTAAATATTTCTCAACCCTAAGCCACTTATTTTTTTAAATGTATTCATAGTTTAAGTACAAAATATGGGAAATTATGTTCTAAGCTATTATTTTCATGCAACATCCAACAGCCATCTTGAAAGAATGCACATGAGAAAATTTTCACCTATTTCAGTGAATCTGCCATTGCCTAAATAATACTTTATTTTATTTTTACAAATGACAATTATAAGCTATTTAAAACATTGATACCGTTTTGTGCTCCCTCCTTTTTGCTAACATATGAATGACCTTCAGTCAGAGTTTGTTTCCACAGAGCTGTCCTCTCTTGGAGGTGACTTGCATGGCATTTTGTCCTGGTGGGGAATTCCAAGCGCTGGCCTCTGGCTGGAGTCCATACGTAGGTTAGGCAGGAGTAGATCAGCAGGCCGGTGCTGTTCCCACTGCTGTCGTTTCCAGGCACCTCCAGACCTGTTTTGTTGAATTCCATGAAATGGATTGTTTCCCGTCTTTATGGGCAATGGAAGAAAGCTTGGGGAAGGCGGATCAACTGCTCAGGATTCCGTGAGGAGGAAGTAGTTTGTGACGCATTTGTCTTTAATAGAGCATCTTCAGAATGCTGTGTAGAGACAGAAGTCAGCTGAGAGGGACAGAAGGAAGGCTGAGAAAATGGGCAGGACCTATTGCCTTGCAGGCCACTGCAGCACTGAAATTCAAACCTGTAAGCTTCGAGGTTGTGGGAGCCCTACTTTAAGGGGTTGCAACTTCTTGAGAGTTGGCAAAGTGCACAGAGAAGTTAAGAATTACAGTATATGTGTAGGTTTGATATGCTACTTTGTTATCTATGTGTTTAAGATTCGGGAAAGAACCAACTTCACTATCTATAACAGCCATTTCGAATGGGATATAAATAATGAGCTTAGGTTGTCTTTAAAATTCTTTTAGAAATTAAAAAACTTGGCCATTGAGGTAGCATTTTAGAAGGTCAGTTGGGAGGGAATGGCTTGCTGCTGGGTGTGGGGGAGGGCCATAGGGACAAGGTGCTTGCATCAAAGCACAGAAACTCCAGGCTCTGTGTCAACAGATGGCTGCAAGGATGGGCCCTGGGCCCTGGTTACCATGGTAAATGAAAGGTCCTGTCAGCCGGTTTTCACTAAGAGGATAGCAGCAGGGGTGTTTGTCCCCAGGTTACCATCTGAGAATGAATCCTTATGCCTGGTAAGAACTGAGATCCAGGGCAATTAGTAAGCTTCGAGCTCACACAGACAGGAAGACAAACAGGAGAATCAGTGTCAACAGTGAATCTTGCTGACAACTGTTGGGGAAGGAGCTTGTACATCCCTCTGTGAAGGAAGGAGTGTAAGCAATTACCATCTCCATGTCTACTCAGAATGTTTTACGTCATTTAGCCAAGCTCCTCCCTCCCTGCTCTGTAATACACATGGTTAGAGAGTGCGCCTGGAAGTTAAAACATTTATAAATGAGCTAAGGCTGGACATAGTCCATTGTTTTTATTGCTACTCAGCACCACATGATCTTTCTTTCCCCTTTCACTTCATAGTACATGAGCATTCAGAAAATGAAGGGATAGAGATTTTCAATGTTGACTGTATTTTACCTGCATAGCTGTGCAGTAAAGAAGAGATATAGGAAATGCAGTAGTTTTTCAAGCCACTAAGAAATAATTAGGAATTGTCAAACATGGTGTCTACAATAAGACTGGTGCTAGATGGCCCACAGATATCAAAATCGAAAGATACTCCAGGCCCTTGCATAAAACAGCACAGCATTTGCAACCCCTAACCTGTGTTGCTTTCCCAAGCTTTTGAACCATCCCTACATCACCTACCTGGAATGCCATTTGCATGCTCTGCCAATCACCTACCTGGAATGCCATTTGCATGCTGTCAATCACCTACCTGGAATTCCATTTGCATGCTCTGTCAATCACCTACCTGGAATGCCATTTGCATGCTGTCAATCACCTACCTGGAATGCCATTTGCATGCTCTGTCAATCACCTACCTGGAATGCCATTTGCATGCTGTCAATCACCTACCTGGAATGTCATTTGCATGCTCTGTCAATCACCTTCCTGGAATGCCATTTGCATGCTGTCAATCACCTTCCTGGAATGCCATTTGCATGCTGTCAATCACCTCCCTGGAGTGCCATTTGCATGCTGTCAATCACCTCCCTGGAGTGCCATTTGCACGCTCTATCTGTATTTGTTATTTTGCTTCAGTGTCTGTATATCTCACTTTTCTTTTTTCTCTTGGTGTTTCTGATCCTTGGCTGGTAAATATGAGGATGTAGAACCCATGAGCACAGAGGAATTTTTATTTTACATCAACGGGAGTAACACTGGTCCCTCTGATTAAACTTTTGAATATAATTTAGAACTGAAGTTGATTTTGTGATATAAATACTCAGGAGTCTCCCATAAGGAGACCCAGCCTAGACAAAACTTTCTGAGTAGATTTTAGTCACTTTAGGGATCTAAGTCAGTAGTTCTCAACCTGTGGTTCACGTCTATTTGGACTCTTTCACAGGGGTTGCCTAAGACCACTGGAAAACACAGATATTTATCTGTTATGATTCATGACAGTAGCAAAATTACAGCCATGAAGTAACAATAAATAATTTTATGGTTGGGGATCACCACAGCATGAGGGACTGTGTTAAAGGGTCACAGCATTAGGAAGGTTGAGAACCTCTGATCTAAGTGGAGGTGAGTTACTGTAATGTGTTTGGTCTATTTCTTTTTTTAGATAATGCCATAGAAGATTCCAGCATCATTTCAGAAGGTAGGTTATTTTTATAGAGATGATCTTTTATTCTATATCAATGTAGATAAGCTTATTTAAAACATGTATGCTGAACTGTGTGCTTACCCAGGGCTGGGGGTGAGCCATGCTGGGATGGATGAAGCCAACAGGGTTCTTTTCCATGAGGCTGTCATTCTAGAGACCAGGCATAATAAAAGAAGAGTGACAGAAGCAGATTTCTGTGAGAAAATAGATGCGGGTGAAGGGCTACCTTATTTATGAGTGAGCGGCCACTTCGGAGAAGGCACTCTGGCGATAAAGGGTTTGGGGAAGTCAATCTGTCGATAAAGGGTTATTATGGCTGGAGATCAGCAGGAAGTTGTGATGTTCTTGATGTTATTTAAATGTGAAGGAGGGAAAATATAATTATCGTTTGGTTGGTTGGTTGATCAGGTTTTCTTGGAAATGAAGGGATGTTTTTTGAAAAGCAAAAGTAACTGCTTATACTCATTTAAACAGCAGTGTTTCAGTACAGCAGAGTCAATAATTCGTGGTGTACAGAAAGCTCCACATAGATTGTTTTCGTTGGTCCTCATGGTAGACAGCGAGGAGGAGATGGGACACAAGATCCTTGTGCTGATTATTATTATTATTATTATTACTATTATTATACAAATGTGCTGAAACTGGAGCAAGTCCTAGTGAGATCTTGGTGATCCTGGTTGATCCTGGTTCCATAGGCTCTTACAATTCTTAAGAAACAAAAACTAACAATCTTATGGCTAAGGTAGTGTTAAGTGGGCTGAAAGGTTTGAAGAAATTAGTATGTGACATAGTTTATAGAACATGCCTGCCGTTGTCTTACAGTCAACTGGTGATGCCTACAGTCTTTCTAGATGTCTCCAAGCAGCAAGAGAAAGAAGTTAGTGTTCACATCTGCATCAGAGTCATCTTGGGATTTCTGATCCTGTGGAGTGGAGAGTTCAGTGGTAGCTCATGCTGGTGTGCAAGACTCTAGGTTCAGTGTGGAAGTGCTGCAGCTCTGTGGGGAAAGGTTCCCCATGGCTACTGTTGCAGCTCTGAGGGGAAAGGCTCCCCATGGTTAGTGTTGCAGCTCTGAGGGGAAAGGCTCCCCATGGTTAGTGTTGCAGCTCTGAGGGGAAAGGCTCCCCGTGGTTAGTGTTGCAGCTCTGAGGGGAAAGGCTCCCCATGGCTAGTGTTGCAGCTCTGTGGGGAAAGGCTCCCCATGGCTAGTGTTGCAGCGAGGTCATCCTCCCCCCCCCCCCACTAGTTTATAGAGTCTGATGCTAACTGTAGAGAACCTGGTCTTAGTGCCATCTGCTGGCTGTTAGCTGGGTCACCTCCTGAGCCTGTTTAGCAAATGATTGGGAAGTTTGCAGCTTTGCTCAACTGTAGCTAATTCTTTTGTCCTGAGGGTGTCAAATCCTAGTGTTTTTATGACAATCAGAGGTATAGCCATGATCTGCAGCATATAATGGATTGTTTCTTTGTTTAATTTTTAGAAATAAACATCCCCTCCGTGGAAGAACAGCAAGACACTACACCAGGTATGACATTTCCTTAGATCTAGTGTGTTTTGCTTTTTTTTTGGATGAATTTAAAATACTGTTGGCATTTTAAATTTTCAAATGGGTGTTTTAATTTAAAATCTAAAATGCTGCTGGTGTTTTATATTCATAAAATACCGTATGAAACAGATCTATAGTGGATAAAAAAATCTTGAAGAAGATTTCTATACTTTAAAGAAAGACATTTGTTTTCTAATGACATAACAGAGTCATGGAAAACACATGCCTGGTTCAGACTAAGACATGTATGTTGTGTAGAATTTAGGAAGCGTTTAGTAAATTTCTTTACGAGTGTCCCATTGTGCATGCTGGTGAAGATGCAGAGCGTAAGTTAGGGATTTGTGCTTTCTATTTTTCCATTTTGATTTTCAACGCGTCTGATGGTGGGTATAGAAATGGTTGTCTCAGGGTGGAGAGGAATGGTGTGTATCTGTCCACACTGTCCATCTTGCTCCTGTCTTCCCAGCCTTCTGGAGGGCATCATCAGTGCCCACAGCCGCCAATCTATTCAGGGTTGCTCAGTAGCCACGACATGGAACCCACTTCCCCACACTCTCCTTTGCCCCACGGTCCCCTGTCAACACTAGTGGGTTCAGATCTCTCAGGCCAAGACCAACTGCCCTAGTGATGAGGGATCCATGTGGACAGGGGAAAGAAGGCTTTCCTGGGTTTCCTCTTGCATTTCCTCTCCAGTCATTTCTTACCGTTTCTGTATTTTATTGCTTTTATCTTTGGTTATCTTGGTTCACCATTTACTCCTTTTCAGACTGTGTGCAATACAAATCTTTAGCAGAGATGTGAATGACGGCTATCGATTTTGGTAGGAGTAATTGTACCTGCCAGAATTAATTGAATACTGAATTTCAGACTAAAAAGCAGCCAATAAGTAAATGAATAAAATAATGAATATTTTTCATTGTGCTTCAGTGTGTGTTGTGGTTCATTTGGTGGATGGAATGTTTTAGTTTCTGGTAGTTTTCATACCATGTACATGTATGTTAATTAAATTCAGAAACATTTAATGTAGAGACCCGAGTCATTGGTATTACAGTGTAAATGAAAAGATATCCATGGAGACATTTGTGTGATGGCTGTGGAATAATGTGTATTCTGTCATTTAGAATTGGCAAGGAGGGCAAGTAAAGCTGAAACTTACTGTTTCTCTGATTCTTGTTGAACACTGCTTGACACTGACAGGTAGAATGGGTTATAGAGTTGGCATTTGATGATTATAAATCTTTAAAGACAAGTATTGAGAACTAATCTTGGGAATAATGAATTTCCAAAGAGTATTTTTCTAGTTGTAGTCTATACTTTTTAATTTATTATTGCCCTTACTATCCTGAAAGGAATTGAGCCTATTACTCTCTCTGCCTTTATTTCATTGCCTTACAACCTGACACCCTAATTGATTTGGAGCATGCCCATAAAATACCAGTGGTTACCAGGGTAGTGTGGTAAGGTGTTTTGTAAAGAGATACTTTCCAGCCTCAATAAAAGCACACAGAACTGAAGGCGTGATCCATGGCAGGCTTCACAGTGTGTGATGAGGTCTCAGGGAGTGGTGGATGTGGCTGTTTCTGTTCAGGGATTAATTGGCTTGATCTGTGAGCTAGAGCGAAAGGAGCTGGAAACCTGAAGGAACTAATCAAGAACTGGGCCCTGGAACTGGGTTTTGTCAAAGCTCCCTGGATGCTTTGCATGGCTGTTGTTTGACGTTGCTGTGAGAAAGGGTGAGGCTCAGAATCAGCGGTCACTTGGAGCCTTTGCATGTGGTTGACTCATTTCCTGTATCCCGACTTAGTCTTCCTTCATGTTATAGTTTGTGTTATATAATGGTATGGGAAAATGATCAACCTATGTTAATGGTATTGTGGTTCATTCAGTTGACTGATTCTGCGAAAGTGTTAACTGTTTGTCTGATGGCAAGAGCTGTGGGAACATGGCCATCAGGTCTGTACCTCACCAGAGCGCATCTCTGGAAAGCTGGGCTGGAGAGCTTCTGCAGAATGCTAAATCTTTGCTTTCCTCGATCATTGCAGGGCTAGGTCACACAGTTTCACTGTTGCTTGCTAAAGTTCATGATGAGGTAATTACTTCTGTTGCTCCCATAAGGTATCATGGCCATAGAAACAGTCACAAGGTAGATGAGTTATGACTCATCAAGCAGTAGATCATTTTCCCCCCTAGGACATTCATGGATTAACTTAACAGGTAGAACACCATAGAGGCTAGATTTGCATTTATGTTAATTTTGCAGATGAGGAGGCTGAGATGTGGCAAGGCCATGACCTTCCTCAGACCCTACAGGTGACTAGTAGGAGAGCGATTAGAGAATAAATGGTGACTCTGGAGCCCGCCATCCTGCTGTTTTCTAGAATGTCTCAAGGACATGAAGGTCAAAAAGCTGATGGAAGTTTCTGGGGCCTTCTGAGTTTGATAAGTTAGACTCGCCATGTTCCTGTATGCCTTTCTCAGTCTTCCTTGGTTTATCACATAGGACTGGTGTATGTAGAGAATCGGCTTGGAGAAAATTTGTGGCACACAGTTTTCTAAGGATGTAACTTTTGGCTCCTTGGTGCTTTGTATGTGAAAGGTTAATCTAGAAAAGGATCATTCTGATCCAAGAAATTAAATATTTTGAATACCGGGTATTTTAAATTGATTAAAATATATCCCCCCAACTTTTTAAAAATTTTTCTCCTTAAATTCACATTTTCATTTGAAGTCGGCCAGCATATTCCTAGCAGTTTCAAAGCATAGATCCACACAGCACCAATGGAATGACTTATGGAGGAGTCATTTACGAAGTTGCTTACAGTAACTTTTTGCTAAACGATACTTAAAACCCTGTGAGCTAAGTGGTCCCATGAAGTTTTTGCCTCAGTGTGCTAGCCAAGGAGTAGAAGACCATCAATTAACGTGTCGAGAGTCATTTGACTCAGAAGAGAGTTGTGAGGGCATTATGGTTTCTGGAAGATTCTTCTGCCCTGCCTCCCTGAAGCTGGTGATCATAATCTTGGCTTAGCAGATCTCCTGGAGTTGAGGTTACAGGCTGTTGTGAGCCTACTCACACCCCTGCTGAGAACCAAGCTTGGGTCCTTTGTCAGATCAGCAAGGACTCTTAACTGCTGGTCCCATCTCCCTTGCTGCTATCTAATGAGCATTTTCTGTTAAACTTTGAACAGCTTCCCATTGTATCAGTATAACTCAAAACTATTTATTTTCTTAAATTCTAAATTATAGCATACTGTCAACTTGATGTTTGTGAACTTTTCCTCCTGAGGTGTAATTTGCATCCCGAGAAGTGTTAAAATGATGGGTTTTGACATGTGTATACATGTTTGTAAATACTCAGACCATAGTCTAGAAAACATGCTGCGCCCCAGAAGTCTCTGCTTCTTGTCAGAAGTCTCTACAACTGATGTTCTGACCTACAACATCTAGACTGGTTTTGTCTGCTTTTAAATTTAATTTAATTAGAGCCACACACACCCCCACCGGCATTTTTGTGGTTGGCTTTTGTTGTTTAGCATGACATCTGTGAGCTTCAAATTTCCTTGTTTGTAAAGTCCAGTAATTTAATCTTAACCATTACTGTTTTTTTATGAACATACAATAATGTTTTATCATTCTGATGTTGATGGATATAGTAAGTATACCTAGTTTTTTTTGACTACTATGAAGGAAGTCGCTCTATTCTTGTACATGTCTTTTGGTGATTATTGACAGTCACTTTTGTTGGGTCCATAAAGTTATATGTACACTTTCTAGTTGCTTCACCCGAGCAACAACAGTTCTTGCTTATATAATGGCTTGGATTTTGTTATGGCTACATACAGAGATAGATGATGGATGGATGGGTGGGTGGGTGGGTGGACGGATGGGTTGACGGGTGGATGGATGGATGGGTGGGTGGGTGGATGGATGGATGGATGGGTGGGTGGGTGGGTGGATGGATGGGTGGGTGGGTGGATGGATGGATGGATGGGTGGGTGGGTGAACGGACGGGTGGATGGATGATAGATTGATGCATTAATGGATAGATGGATGGACGATAGGTAGTGTCTTAGCATTTCTATTGCTGTGATAAACCATTATAAGCAAAAACAACTTGTGGGAGGAAAGGGTTTATTTCTTTACAAGTTATAGTTCGTCGTCAAGCAGGGTGAGGCAGGGACAGGAACTAGAGACGGAACTGAAGCCAAGCAGGAATGCACTTGCTAGCTTGCTCCCTATGGCTTGCTCAGTCTGCTTTCTTATATACTCTAGACGTACCTGCTCGGGGATGGCACTGCCCACAATAGGCTGAGCCCCCCCTCCCCCCGACATCAGTCACTAATCAAGACAGTATTCCACACGCTTGCCCATGGGTCAGTCTTTTATAGGGATTTCTCAATTAAAATTCCCTCTTCCGATATATGTCTAGCTTCCTGTCATTTGACAAAAGCCAACATACACACACACACACACACACACACACACACACACACACACACACAGGACAGAAGGGAATGCCATAGTCACAAACTATCTTAAGTTATTTGTAACGAATCAGTATTATCTCACAGTTCTACAGGATGCCCATGTCCATGGCGTCAGCATGTGCGTTGCTTCTGGTGATGGCCCTTTCACTACATCACCTCAGGATGGAGGAGGATGTGCTGAGTCTAGGAAAGCCTGCTAGCTTGGCCCTTTCTCCTGATTTTCAAAAAACTGATTCTGTCTGTAGTCCTCAACCTCCTGACCTCTTCCAAACTGGACTGTCTCTGAAAACCACTCTTTATATTAAATTTCTGATACAGAGGTTTATGGGAAACACTAAAGCCTCATCAGTAGTCTGGACTTAGAAATTGTAGCAGCATTTGCCTGGCCTCTGGGGAGCAGCCACCTCCTTTCTTACCCAGTTCTGTGTAAAAACCCAATACTGTACAGTGAAACAAACCACACACTAAAATCTGGAGCAAAAATGCATGTCT